TTGACCATTTCTTGACAGCACTGGCCTGTTAACAGACGCTGCAGACCGCCAGGCCGACGTGCCTAGCATAAACTGGAGGACCGGGTGTACAGCTCCTGTGGGCCTGCTGTGGCCCCTGTGCCGTAAGTCCCCCAGTGCTGGGGTTAGCAGGCAGCCCATGCTTTCTTCCCGGTTTGTCAGCATTTGGAGCTAGGATTCCTAAATGCCGAAGCAGTCAATGAGATTCCCCCTTTGAAGCAAGCATGACAAGCAGGTGGTTGTTCCTGAGGGGCACGGGGACAGGAAATAACAGTGTCAAGAAGCTGTCCGTCTCTCCTGCACTGTCTGGGTTTCTCCACCACAGCAGGGGTGAGACTTCAACAGGAAAGTGGGGGATTGGAGAGTCCTTGCGCTGCACATCAAAGACAATGCTAGTTTTGCAGTTGGCTATATCAGGCCAGGGAAAACATTCTTAGGATACACTATTACCCATCAGTCATGCTATACCCTTTATGGCAGTAAATCCAAACAACGAGGGGAAAAGACTAGTGTCACAGGAGTCCCGAATATACAAACCATCAAAGACAATGCTAGTTTTGCAGTTGGTTATATCAGGCCAGGGAAAACATTCTTAGGGCCCCGGTCACACAGAGCATTTGCCCCGCTGAAGGCACGGGAGTCCTGCAGAGTATCCGGGCGCGATCACACGGGAACATCTGGGAGGCGCAGCACTCCCGTGGCGACCCCGTGGCAAGCCGCCAAAGCCGCGCAGTAAAAAACACCGCATTGTACTAGTAAACACTTTGCCACGGGCCGCCTATGGAAGCCTCCCCCGTCGTCCTCTTTGCTGCGGGGAAGCCGCCGTCGTGTCTGATCGCATAATAGTGCATCAGAATGCGATGGTGCAAACAGCCGCGCTTCCCCCCCACGTTTTCCGGCATGTCTGGCCGGGGCCTAGGATACACTATTAGCCATCAGTCATGCTATACCCTTTATGGCAGTAAATCCAAACAACAAGGGGAAAAGACTAGTGTCACAGGAGTCCCAAATATACAAATTCCACTAGTAGAAAACACCGTCAAATGATCATATGATTGGCTTCTTATACTATGAACCTTGTGATCTTTTGAAATGGATGAAATCAGGTTCCACTTATACAGCCGGGAAACCGAAGAAGTCGAAGGAAACGCATCTTCCAAGTATCTAGAATGGGCGTCTTTACAAAGGCCGTTTGGAAAAATGTTATGACTGTGTGAACTCTTCCTATCAAGTTACACTACACGGACTTTATGTCTTGTCTTCAAAGGAGGAAATATTGTATCTTATGCCTTATTATAGTCACGATATGCATTAATGTTGCTGTTGTGTGACACCACCAACTTTATAATTGTTTAATATATTGTTTTGGCAATCTTTGATGGTTTTTTTCTACTAGTGGAATTTGTATATTTGGGATACCTTCTACGGCAGCTGGATGAGGTCGCTGCTGGGCTTCTGGCCCTCCACTCTTTGCAGGTATTTAAGCCTTGGTGTAGGCCAAAGGGCCAATTTGGTTAGGAGCACGGAAAATCTGGGAGAAGCTGGCTTGATTCGCCACTCCTCCACATGCAGCTGCTGGTGTGACTTTGGGTCGGTCATAAGTTCTTTCGGAGCTGCTCTCTCAAGAGCAGTTCTCTCAGAGCTCTCTCAGCCCCACCTACCTCCCAAGGTGTCTGTTGCGGGGAAGGGAAGAGATTCTAATCCTCTCTGAGACTACAAGTGAACGGTGGGGCTATCAATCCAGTCTCTTCTTCTTCTCCTGTGCTCACAGCCAGAGTCCCTGAGTGAGCGTGGCCACCGCTGGGGGTGTGCGTGCGCTGCTTCTTTCTCTTTCCCCATTTAAATTGTCTTTTTGAAAACTGTGAATCGCATAAGCCCCCGTGGGTCCCTGTTTTCCCCGGCGGGGAAAAAGTAAGGGAAAAGATAACAGTGCGGCTCCAGAGGCTGGAAGACATCCTGGGTTTGAGCGACCAATCTTGTTTTTATTGGGCTCGACTTTTCACGGTCGGAGTAGTTCAAAGGTGGAATCAGCTGCCCGGGGAGGTGGCAAGCTCCCCTTCCTTGGCAGCTTTCAAGAAGAGGCTGGACAAATATTTGTCAGGGATGCTTTAGGCTGGTCCTGACTTGGGCAGGGGGTTGGGCTAGATGGTCTCTATGGCCCCTTCCAACTCTCTGTGATTCTATGACTGGCTGTGATATATATATATTTTTAAAGTCCTTCCACGACAGCTTGCCCCCACAGCCCAAGGATCTGCGCTGAGATCTCTTTAAATATCTGAAAGGCTGTCATTTGGAGGAAGGCAAGGAGCTGTTCCAGTTGGCAGCAGAGGAGGGGACCCGAAGCGACGGGTTTAAATTACATGCAGAAAGGGATCGGCTGGATATGAGGGAAAACCTTTCCACGGTCACAGAGTGTTCCAAAGGTGGAATCAGCTGCCTTGGGAGGTGGGTGAGCTCCCCTTCCCTGGCAGCTTTCAAGAAGAGGCCGGATGAATATTTGTCAGAGATGCTCTAGGCTGGTCCTGCATTGGGCAGGGGGTTGGACTGGATGGTCTCTATGCCCCCTTCCGACTCTATGATTCTATGACTTAGGGGGCAAGTCCTCTTGCGACAGACCTACTGAAGTGGGCAGAGGCGACGGGCACCACCCCCCAGTCGCTTTACCTGTCAAGGGAGAGATTCGTTCTCATTCAACTGCTGGCAGCCCTCGGTGTGGTCATCACAGTGCAAAAGGGAGATCCGAGTCTTGGAACAAGAGCAGAGCTTGCTCAGAAGCCACGGGCAAGCACCTGTCTCCGTGTGTCCCCATTTCATCCCACCCTTCCTCCGAGAAGCTGAGAACGGCGTATGTGGGGGGTTGGTTTTTTTAACCTCCTTTTTATCCTCACAGAAACCGTGAGAGATAGGTAAGGCTGAGAGAGCGAGAAAGAGAGAAGTCACCCAGTGAGCTTCCATGGCAGAGTGGGGATCTGAACCCTTACAGATGGCTTCAAGAGGGGACTGGGGAAACATACGGAGCAGAGGTCCATCGGAAGTTATCAGCCACAAGGCATACATGGAGCACTCTGTCTGGGGGCGAGGGATGCTCTGTGTTAATGGTGCTTGGGGTGTGGGGGACCACAGCAGGAGAGCTTCTGGAGTTCTGGCCCCACTGCTGGACCTCCTGAGGACACCTGGGTTTTGGGCACTGTGTGACACAGAGTGTTGGACTGGATGGGCCACTGGCCTAATCCAACATGGCTTCTCTTATGTTCTTGTAGGTTCTTAAGTCTGGGGCAGTAATGCTCTGTCTTCTTGGGGCTACAGTGGGAGGGCTTCTGGAGTTCTGGCCCTGCTGGTGGACCTCCTGATGGCACCTGAGTTTTGGGCACTGTGTGACACAGAGTGTTGGACTTGATGGGCCACTGGCCTGATCCAGCATGGCTTCTCTTATGTTCTCACGTCTGGTGCAGTGATGCTCTGTATTCTTGGGGCTTGGGGGGTGACAGTGGGAGGCTTTCTGGAGTTCTGGCCCTGCTGGTGGACCTCCTGATGGAACCTTGGTTTTGGCCAGAGTGTTGGACTGGATGGGCCATTGGCCTGATCCAGCGTGGCTTCCCTTATGTTCCTATGTCTGGGGCAGTGATGCTCTGTATTCTTGGTGCTTGGTGGGCAAGAGTGGGAGGGCTTCTGAAGTTCTGGCCCTGCTGGCGGACCTCCTGATGGAACCTGGGTTTTGGCCACTGTGTGACACAGAGTGTTGGACTGGATGGGCCACTGGCCTGATCCATCATGGCTTCTCTTATGTTCTTGTAGGTCTCATAGATCCTCATCTGCCACTCTAACCACTACATCATGCAGGCCCTCCCTCATGTCTCCTTTATGTTTGCTTTCGGTTGCCATTTGCCTGCTTGTGGCCAGAGACCTCCAGGGAATCGAGGCCCATCTGATCAGCAGGCAGAAACTGGGGCCAAAGGGAAGGGCACTAGCAACTTGTGGAGAAAAAAATTAAATTAAAAAGAAAAATGAGGCTGCATCTACTTACAGGCATCTCTGACCATAGAGTTCCTGGTGATTCCTAGAGCTAGCCTTATCACTTCTGGGTAGCTCTGGGAATGCACACAAACTCTGTGGTCAGACCTTCCTGTAAGCCTTATTTTTCTTTATAATTTTTCTCCTGGGATGTCCTGTTGGCTACCTGAAAACCCTATACTTATTCCACATTTTAGACATTTTGTGATGTCTCACTATGGAGATGCATACAGTAGACAGACGCCAAACTCATCCTCCCTGTAGTCTTAGCTTGTGCAGTGGCCCTGATTTATCAATTAATGGCCAGATTTATATATTTAACAGGGCTCTTTTTGCAGAAACAGCCCAGCAGGAACTCACTATCATATTAGGTCACACCCCCAACAGCACAGTTCATTATCTTATTAGGCCACACCCCATGTCTTCCCTTGACTTGCCCAGGTGCCTCACGGCTGCGGGATGCCTGGCAAGCCAGCCCTTAAATGCCTCCCTGATCTTTCCAGGCCCCCTCACTTTCCTGGCCCCCTCTGGCCCCCTCACTTCAGAGTCGCCGGGGGGGGGGTCGCTCTCCAGGCCTTCCCTCTGTAGCCAGTGGTTTTAGCTGTAGTGGGCATGGCCAACTCTGAAGCCAGCCGGAACTCCGTTCCTGTGCGTTCCTGCCCAAAAATAGCCCTGTATATAACGTAGTAATTCAATAGCAGCGGATACTTTTCATGAATTCTGACTTGATTATACAGGCAAAAGCTCCCCCTGGGTGTAGAAATCATTTGCAAGGACAGCTTTCCGCAAGGGAAGCTCCTCTTGAAAAGACTCATTTTCAATCCACAGTTAATAATCCTTTGCATTGCTTGATCGATTTGAACTGGCCTAATTAGGGACCTCATTTTTGGGGAGGGCAAATAAAGTTTGAATATGTCCGTCAAGCCTCTTGCCGAGAAGCCGACTGCGGAGGAAAAGGGCTCTCCACTTACTGTCTTCGTGAGTCTTCAGCAGCAGCGGCGGACTCCGCGGCCCGTCCCCCGGGGTGGTGAAGCAGAGGATTGACGTGTAGTAGGCAGTGAATTTCTTCAAGCTGGTGATGTAGCCGCTGTGAACGCCATGGAAATCAGGAGTGATGGTGACCACGGTCACTGCGTCGGGCGAATCGATCGGCCAGGCCAGGAGCTAGAATGGAGGGAGAGGATTGAGAGACCGAGAGGAGGCCGTGTTTAGAGAGGCCTCCCGTTCACTATCTTATACGCTCCACTGCCCGGACCCGATTAGCTCAATTGCAGAAGAACAAACATTAAAGGTAATGCAATCGCCGCCGCTCATGCTGTACGTACAAGATTTAACCTTGTTACTGTGCTCACCGAAAGGGCTCGCATCGTACCCTCTGGCGACACGCAGGGAATTTTAAAAGCACACACAAAAAGAAAAAAATCAAGGGGAAACATCCAAGTGCCTCGAGCTAGAGTTAAGGATTTATAGCAAGCCGACATAGCATCCCTCCTGCTTGGAGAGGAAATGAAGAGTTACGGGAGCAACGTTGGGGAAATAAGACCCTCGAAAAGAGTCATTCGGGTGTGGGAGAAAAGGGGATTTGGAAGGACAGTGGTATACCGGAGAAGGGCATCATGGCCTAGAGTGCTCTATTCCAAGATAAGCCTAAAGCAAAGGGCCAGGTTGGGAAGGTGAGAGACTGGGCCACCAAAGGCAGGGGCTAAAAGGGTAGATCGTAGATCACCCAGGGAGGCCCTGGGAACCAGCCTGTGAGGAGGAGGAGGAGGAGGAGGAGGAGGTCAATGGACCCAGATTTGGGGTTCCTCAACCTTCAATACTAGATCCAGGGCTATTTTTGGGCAGGAACGCACAGGAACGGAGTTCCGGCTGGCTCCCAAGTTGGCCACGCCCAGAAGGAACTCATTAGCATAATAGGCCACACCCAACAGCAGAAACTCATTAGGATTGGCTACAATTAGGGGTGTGTGGCCTAACATGCAAAAAGCCCTGGGTTTTGACAACAAACAAGGTAAGGAGAATAGGAAGCAAAAGGTGGGTGTGGCTGGATGAGCACACTTCTGGTAACATGGGGGTGTGGCCTAATATGCTAATGAGTTCCTGCTGTTGGGTGTGGCCTATTATGCTAATGAGTTCCTGCTGGGCTTTTTCTACAAAAAAAGCCTTGTTCATGTTCATCTATGGAGCTGGGCAGGCGGGAATGCTCATCACAGCTCTCCAAACAGATCTTTCCCAGCTTTTACTTCCCCCCAACTTTTTCTCTCATTCTCCAAGTTTGAGAAACTGAGCACTAGGTTGGTTGTTGTAGATTTTCCAGGCTGCATGGCTGTGGTCTTGGCATTGTACTAGGTTGCTCATGGGAAGAACTAGCCTTAGCCAACCATCCTCCTCCTCGATTCAAGGGCTACAGGGTCACCGTGGCATGCCTGCAGGGGCAGCTGGAGTCAGTGGAACTCTCTAGAACTTTACTCCCATGTGAAGAAGAACTCTGCTGAATCAGAGCCATGAGCTAAGCTGGCATCCTGTTCTCCTGCAACAGCCAACCAGGTGCTCCTGAAAGGTCAAGAAGCATGGCAGGGAGACCAAAGGCTCTTCCCACACCCCAGTTCTCCCAGCCAGAGGAGGAGGAGGAGAAGGAGAAGGAGGAGGAGGAGAGTTGGTTTTATACCCTGCCCTTCACTACCCTATTAGTTTCACACAGCTATTGTTGTTACGTTGTTTGTTAACAAGATACTGTTTGGAAAGTTAACTTCTCCTTTTTGCTGTTACTGTATCAATATCTTTATTGTATGTTGATATACTGTAATAAAATTTTAAAAAAGAGGAGGAGGAGGAGGAGGAGGAGGAGATTGGATTTATACCCCGCCCTTCACTACCCGAAGGAGTCTCAGAGTGGCATACAATCTCCTTTCCCTTCCCCTCCCCACAACAGACACCCTGGGAGGCAGGTGGGGCTGAGAGAACTTGTGACCAGTGTTCCCTCTAAGCTGAGTTAGTGTGAGCTAGCTCAAAGTTTTTTAGCCTCAGGCTCACACGTTTTTGTCTTCCTGAGCTAAGACAAAAATGTGTGAGCCTGAGGCTAAAAAACTGTGAGCTAGCTCACACTAACTCAGCTTAGAGGGAACACTGGTCACAAGTTCTCTCAGGATGGCTCCAAAGCAAACTGATTTAGGCAGTAGCCCGATCGCTCGCTCACAGCTTTAATATCAGTAGCTGACATAGTAGACTTTTTGCTCACAAGACTCCACAGCTTAGAGGGAACATTGCTTGTGACTGGTCCAAGGCCACACCAGTGGCTGCATGTGGAGGAGTGGGGGAATCAAACCCGGAACCTGGAACCAGGAGCAGCCTTGCAGGGAGTTTGGAAGAACTGCGTGCTTGCCTGCTCCACAGCTGGGGTTGCCAACTCGGGCCTGGGGAATTCCTGAAGAATTTGGAGGAGAATTTCACCTAGAATCGATGGTGTGCCATAGAGTTTGCCCTCGGGCACTGCCCTTTTCTCTAGGGGAACTGATCTGTGTAGTCTGGAGATGAGTTGAAATTCCAGGAGATCTCAAGACCCTACCTGGGAGTTGGGAACTCCACCGACAGCCTATGGAATGCTTTGGAGAGTGAGAAACTGCCTTCTTCTAACTCAGATCACATCCCTGGGCCCTCTAGCTCTCCGGGTCTGGCAGAGAGGGCTCTTCCCCATCACCCACTGCCTGCAGGATGTGTCTCCCCAAATGTACCCATGTGGAAAATCCTTTCCTCCCAATAGGGTCTTCCTTGCCATCCCTCCCCTCCTGCTGCCTGAACACGGCCTCTCTCCCTCCATGTCTTTTCGGTCCAGAACACCCCACCCCGTGGAATCCCCTGGAATTCCAGCTCATTTCCAGACTACAGAGATCAGTTCCCCTGGAGAAAACGGATGCTTTGGAGGGTGGGCTCTGTGGCCTTGTACCCCACCGCGGTCCCCGCCCTCCCCAGGCTCCACCCCCAAATCTCCAGGGGCAACCCTACCCCCCATCTCCCGCCGGTGGCCGGGGGAATGTGGGAACCCTACCCCTACCCCTAAAGAGAGGGAAAGCCAAAAAACTGTGTATAGAATATGATTGCGTGACTCATAGAACTGTAACATTTATGTCAAAGAAGTATACATACAGTGAAACCAGGGCTATTTTTGGGCAGGAACGCACAGGAACGGAGTTCCGGCTGGCTTCCAAGTTGGCCACACCCAGCAGGAGCTCATTAGCATAATAGGCCACACCCAACAGCAGAAACTCATCAGGATTGGCTACATTAGGGGTGTGTGGCCTAACATGTAAAGGGGTTCCTGCTACAAAAACAGCCCTGGGTTTTGACCACAAACAAGGTAAACAGAATAAGAAGGGAAAGGTGGGTGTGGCTGGATGAGCACACTTCTGGTAACATGGGGGTGTAGCCTAATATGCCAATGAGCTGTGCTGTCAGGGGTGTGGCCTAATAGGCTAATGAGTTTCTGCTGTTGTGTGTGGCCTATTATGCTAATGAGTTCCTGCTGGAACCCTGAGTGAAACAATCAGCATGCATAACAAAGAAATCCCAATCTACCGCCTAACTTTTTGAAACAATATCTCCCTACAAAAATGCCACTGTTGGCAAAGAAGAAACCGATCATTGATGCTTGTATGATGGAAATTCCACAAACGTTTCTAAAACAGGAAAAAGTTCAATAATAATCCTCTTTCGAGTTCTTCTTAGAAACCAGGTCCCATCAGTGTTGAGTAAAGAAGACAGGTTCCAACAATGCTTCACGCGCTTGTTAGCAAAAGGGTCCCCACGTATTGCTGGTGCTTTTTCAAAAGAAGAACCTATAATCACTAAATCTTTTACACAAATGTTACAGTTCTATGAGTATTATCGCGTGATTCACATTCTATAAAGTAAAGGTAAAGGTTCCCTTGCTCGAAAGCCAGTCGAATCCGACTCTAGGGTTGCGGTGCTCATCTCCATTTCAAAGCCGAAGAGCCAGTGCTGTCCGAAGACGTTTCCGTGGTCATGTGGCCGGCACGACTAAACACCAAGGCGCACGGAACGCTGTTGTCTTCCCACCGAAGTGGTCCCTATTTATCTACTTGCAATTTCTTGCTTTCAAACGGCTAGGTTGGCAGGAGCTGGAACGACGGGAGCTCACTCTGCCTTGCAGCTCCCAGGTCTCGAACTGCTGAACTACTGACTTTCCACAGCCTGCAGTTCAGTGTCTTAACCACAGTATTTTTTGCTTCGGTTTGATTCTCCAGGTGGTGGCTGGAGATCTGGTCTCCAGGTAAAAGAGGACCGTTCCCCTGGAGAAAATGGCTGCTTTGGAACACAAGAATCTGCCTTCTACCGAATGAGACCCTTGATCCATCAAAATCAATATTGTCAACTGAGACTGGCAGCGACTCTCCAGGGTCTCAGGCCGAGGTTTTTCATATCACCTACAACCCGACCCCTGGCTCGTAGCCAGGATTTTTTTCCATTGGGGGGGATTTAAATTCTTTAGGGGGCAGGTAACTTAATCAAGAGGCTACGGTGGCTCAAGTGGTTAAGATGCTGAACTGCTGACCGGAAGGTCAGTAGTTCAGCAGTTCGAGACTCGACTGTGCCGCGTGACAGAGTGAGCTCCCGTCTCTAGTTCCAGCTCCTGCCAACCTAGCAGTTCGAAAGCAAGAAATTGCAAGTAGATAAATAGGTACCACTTCGGTGGGAAGGTAACAGCATTCCGTGCAGGGAAACCTTTACCTTTACCTAACTTAATCAAAGTTAATTTAATTAATGGCAGTCCACATGATTAAAGTTGAGAAAAGAAATCCTGCCTAAAGGGAAAGCTCTATTGATGACTATATCACCCCCAACGGAACTCCGCCCAGCAGTATTGCAAGCTGCAGTCTGCAACGTTAGAAGGACTGTAAGGAAGCTTCCTTAAAAGGACTGTAAAAGGAAGCTACACATCCACTGATTCCACCAAAGAGAGCAATTGCAAGGCTAGTAAATCCGGAAGGGGGAAGAGGGAGGAGAACTCAAAAACAGTAAAACAGTTCTCCCATGAGCTACTCAGCCCCCCACCCACCCCAAAACCCAGGCCTCACCCCACTCACCCCCAAAACCCACTCACCAAGCAACGAGCCAATAAAATAATAAAAAATGGAGGAGGAGCTCTG